ACCGTTCACTTAAATCTTCAACACTGTTTAGTTCTCTGTCTTAGTATTACCCAGGAAACCCATATACTAAAAACCAAAATGCTTCACAGGCACCTTTTCCACGTTTTCTAACTCATTAGTTACTAACATCTATGTTGTGGTTCAAAACGACTTTCTAACTGAGGGGTAGAGGGGTCCCTTGGCGCTGCGTAGAGATCAGAAGTATTAGGCTTATTGTCTTCTTGCTCGGATCGAATCTAAAAAAACAGATAAATACCCTTTTCCTCCCTTATTAGGGAAATATTTCCATCGAGTAATTCAGCTCTTAGTCTGTTTTCGGATCCGGGGGGAGACAGTGAATCGGGGGGAGACAGTGAACCGGGGGGAGACAGTGAACCGGGGGTAGACAGTGAACGGGGTATGACTCCCAGTGTGGCAGTCAACAGGTGTTGTTGGTCGCCCACATTTACTGTTGGCTGAGCTTAGCTCAGTCAGTCGAGGAGGTGCCATCCTGGTGTGCTGAGAATCTGGTATGCAGGGAAGTGTGGAGGATGGTTTCCATGGAGCGTCAGCACTGCCTGCCGCACAGAACCAGATCGTGATTTTAAGGGCAAGTTTATGGTTTCTTTTTGTTTTTCCTCTGAGCTCTCCTTCCCCCGTCCCTCTCTCCTTTTAAGAAAGCTATGTCATTTAATGTATGTTCGTGCTGTCTCCCCCGGGGTCCCTGATCCCTGTAGCACACACTTCTTACCCTGGCACACCCACTAATCATCTTCATAACCTGGTATCAATTTCGGTCAACACCTGGTTGACTGACTCCAGTACCTCCGTTAACCCTTAAAACCTTTGATGCCGCTCACCTTCATTCTACGTTGATGAGGGTCTCGGTTTCTCCCACGACGCTGCGTCGATTTCAGGATTGTTTGAGTATTACTGGAGAGAATACCTTGAAGTCGTAGTCCAAATGACTTCGACACATAAACGATTCTAATATTGCATCTGACATTCCGTTCTCATTCACTTCCTACTTAACACATTATCAGGAGACCACTTCCCCTTCACAACGTATGTCTTAGATAGTCATGGACGAAATTTTTTTTCCTCCAGCCGACAACATTTACATTAAAATGGTATAAAATACCGACAGGTTGGTAGGTAAGACACAAAGGCAACAGTTAGCCAACTTTATTCCGAAACGTTTCGCCTACACAGCAGGCTTCTTCAGTCGAATACAGAAAGTAGGCAGGAACAGTAGAGATGTGAAGACGATGTAATCAGTCCATCACCCTTGAAGTCGTAGAATTTGAGGTTGTCAGTCCCTCAGCCTGGAGAGTTCAGTTCCATAGTCAGGAACTATCTGAAGAACAAGCGTGTGTGTATAATGTTCGCCAAGACCATAGTCCTGGCACGGGTCCCAATCTTGCGATGACCCGTCTCTGGCTCCCGATGGAGAAAGGTTTCCACAATGATGCGACGCATGCCGCTCAAGCGCCCCTCTGGTCAGTTCAACTGGTGCATCTCATAAGCGACACCATATGTAACTATGGACACTAGCGAGGAGGAGGATATGTCATTATTACAGGTAACAGCTTGTCTGGTTCGTTGACCCCATGGTACACTAGTGTGGCCGCAGTCATCTCTGGGTCCTCTTCGGGAGGGAATATCACTCCTAGTTGCCTGCGGAGTGTCTCAGTAGCTTCGCACTCTAGAAGATAGTGTGTTAGGGGCCGCTGGACAACGTGCTGACAGTACTGACACATCTCCTCAGCCTTGTCTACCATCATTTTGGCTGTGGGAAAGCCCAAACGAAGCCGATGGATGGCGGTACACTGCGCTCTGGACCAGCTTCTATCATATGGGGGGGTTCTCCCTGAGTCGCTGCTCGGTACCACTGTTGAGATGGGGTATCACCTAAGACCTCCCCCATAAGTTTCGTGGCTTTGGCAGCCACCAGTTTGGTCTGTCGTAGGCTGATTGGGATAGTAATCCCAACATGTGGATAGTCTGTTGCTGCCTTGGCTGCATCATCTGCCGCCTCATTTCCCCGGATGCCAACATGGCTGGGGATCCAGTTCAATGTCGATCTATTACCCTGAACTTCTAAGGCTGTCATTATGCTCAGGATCGATGTGATGAGGTGAACATTATCCTGTGGTTGAGGATGGGAGAGGGCATTGATTGCAGAGGTGGAATCAACATGTATGACAGGTCGGAGTCGATGTCGTAGGGCATGTGACAATGCCTGCTGAATCGCCACCAGCTCAGCTTGAAGGATCGTGCAGTGGTCAGGGAGTCGCCAGCCTTGTGTGTGACCATTGTGGTACAGTCCAGCTGCTGCTCTCTTCCTGTCAGGGTCGACAGAACCATCTGTGAAATACACTGCACATGTGCCTCCCTCTGCCAGTGCCATGCTTGTCTCAGCATGATTGCTGAGGGTGTCTTGACTGCAGAGACACTTAGAGATGGGTAGCTGCATGATGAAAACATCGGCTGGATCTGGGCGCCAGGGAGGTGGTGGATGGTACCCAGCAACAGGAAGGTCACAACTCTTCTCACAGAGCAGCTGTACAGGCAGCAGCTTCCGCCCAGCAGCACAAAACGAACGAATCCAGGAGTAGTCCGTGAAGAGTGTGGGATCTTGTGACATGGTTGTTAATATCCGTCTCCTTAGTGGGGTACCATGCTGCCGGTGCAGAATCGTGGCCACTTTGCAGGCGTTTATGTATCTTACTCTGTCAGCCAAGGAAAGAAGCCGGGCCTCAGATCTGAGACATACTGTGTTGGTCCAGATGGGGGCACCAAGCATAGTTCTTATCGCCTGGTTTTGTACGACCTCCACCCTTTGCTTACTCTGCAGGAAGAGATGAGCTAAAGCCGGTGCACCGTAGTCAATGAGCGAGCGTATAGCTTGTATATAGTACAAGCGAAGTACATCTTTGCTTGCCCCTGCACGGTGCCTCGTCATGGCTCTCATGGCATTGAGTCTGAGTAGAGCACGTGACCTGACATACTCGGCCTGTTTCTGAAAGGTCAGCTTTTTATCAATGTAGATTCCCAAGTACAGGTAGGAGCCTGTCCACTCAAGTTCTATATCCTGAATACGTAATCTATTCACAGGATCTGGTCCCTTGAACATCATTGCAAGAGATTTCAGATTTCTCGGCCGAGATCTTGAGGCCTAGTTCCTTGCAAGACTGTGTAATTAGGTCCAAAGCTCTCTGAGCCTGTCGTTCTAAATTGCCTTTCCCATTCACTACTAGTGCAAGATCATCAGCATAGCTGAGGAGCTGTGTACCACTATGAAAGGGAAGGCTCACAAGTTCCTGCATAAGGATGTTAAACAGGGTAGGACTGAGCACACCACCTTGTGGCGTACCGTTTTCCAGGGTTTTAAAGGAAGAGTAGTGTCCTTGAAAGCTGACACAGGCCTGCCTGCCCCTAAGGTAGGACTCTATCCAGGCCAGGAGGCGTCCTTTGATTCCCTTCCGAGCTAGTATTGCCAGAATTGCTGTGGGGCTGGCTAGCTCAAATGCCTTCTCAAGGTCGAGGTAAACGACGATACTAGGTTTTTTGTTGCTATCAGCAATCTGGCTTAGTAGAGTGGTTATGCACTCTGCTGTTCCCACTCCTTTGGTGAAGCCAAATATGTGATGATGAGAGGGTCCAAGTTTCCATAGGAGGCGGTTTAACACCATCCTCTCAGCAGTCTTGGCTAAGCAGCTGGTCAGCGATATGGGTCTCGTACTGCCTGGGTCCTTGGGCTTTGGAATTGGTACGATTGTAGCTTTCTTCCAAGCTGCTGG